AAAAACAGAATTTTACTGATAGATTTGTCCTATGAATCTATCAGTAAAATTCTCTTTATAATGGTATTCATCTCTATATTTATTCAGTATATTCATATATGAACATGCGTGTGTTAATGCTATTTACTGCTCACTTTTTGTTGGTGGGATTCAGTGGTGGCTGCTGAACAAGGGGAGGCTGAATGGTGTTAATTAAATCCAAACATCAGATATTGCATTAAGAAATATTAAAACACTTAAAACACAAAGTTACAAAGGGTGAAAATAGCTGTTGTAAAGAGCTCTGAAATAATCAACTCCAGAAAACACTAGATGACTGTTCTGACTGAACAATCACTTTTCCCTCTTGACTCATGAGGAAAACCTCCTCGCTGTCTGGCCACTGCCAGTCAAAAATGAATTATGTTTGCCAATCAGCATCGAGCAGACAGCTTCAGGACCAGCCCCTGCTTCAGACCCTCTAAGAGGTTTAGCCTTACTGGAAGTGATGTATTTTGGCATGTTATTCAATCAGGGCTCTACTTTCTCTCTGCTTACCTAAATAGACCGAAGCGCAAACCCCAACAGGGATTTATCATAGAGGCTGATAGGAAGGGGGGAGGGGATATTGCATCCAAGAGCAGAAAAAAACAGCCGATTAATGCTCAACATACTCATAAAATCAGGTACATTTTAGAGCATGTATAATGCAGTTTCATTATAACATTTGTGAAGTTTGACAATGCATATTTTACCATTAATCTTACAAAATTTACAGGTGAGGTTTAGCCTCCCTTGTATTCAATGAGAAATCACCACTGGAGGAATTGTTGGTCTGAAGTGAATTAATTAATAATTTCTAACAGTTTAACTACACTGTAGTAAATCGAAAAGCCTTCATCAGTATCATGGTAATGAAACTTTGGAATAGACATTTTTATTTAGCTATGCTGTGACTCAGGCTGGTGCAAACACCCAGAGAACTTTTTTTTTTTGGAAGATAAAAAAATCCACATCCATTTTAACTTTTGATTACAAAAAGACTATAACAGCTAACTATAACCAACTAGACTCACCTTATATGGACTAACAATGCAAATTACAAAGATTAAAAAGCTGACTAAAGATGTCATGAAAATGTCATCTAAAAAACAAACTAAAATTTGAAAATAATAAATAATATCTCTGTTGTTTAATTGTGATACAGGACAGCATAATAAACATATTCAGTTATAGATGATAGAGTTGGGTCCGTTTTTTTTAAGTGCTTAGTCCTGTTTTTCTGCCGGACATAAATATGGGCTCAACGTTTACTGTGCTTAACTGAAGGCCTTATGCGCTCTCTTTCCTCCTTTTGCCATGAAAACTATCTCAGCTCATCATCTCGACTGCTTTAAGACAGAGCCACCTATGGAGCTAGCTAACTGTTACATTTTCAAACATAGAATATGGATCACTGCTTCTCTGTTCCTAATGTGTGTCTGATTCTAGCTCCTTGAAACCCAGTCAACCTTGGCAGATAGCTGCTCACACTGAGCCTGGTTCTGCTGGGGGATTCTTCCTGTTTAAAGGGAGCTTTTCCTCTCCACTGTCACTGCATGCATGCTTGGTGTGAGGGATTGCTGCAAAGTCAGCGACATAAGCAAATGTCTACTGTCGCTACATTCTCATCCAAGAGGAGCAAATACTGTCAACGACTCAATGCAGTCTGGGTTTCTTTCGATAGAAAACTTTAGACCTATCTGACCTTGTGATCGGATGAAATTGTGTCTGTATAGCGCCATGAGGTGAACATGCTGTTAATTAAAGCTATATAAATAGAATAACAGAAATAATAGAAAACATCGATCTTCATGAGAATACAAGGAATTATTTACTGTTTGAGAAGATGGAAAAAGAGGAACTATAAGACAGAAATATTTGAAGGGGGTCAGTCAGCTTTTTTATGGATACAACAACAAAATATAGAAATAATGAAAACTTTTTGCAGAATTTTTGCAGAATCTCAGGCATTGAAAGAAATAAAATCCTGAAAATCACACAAAAGCATCTTTAACACATCCCTCAGTAGCTAAAAAAGTGAAATATTAGCTAAGATTCACAGTTTTTTATGAATATTTTTTTGTGCTTGACTGAATATTCTTATATTTTTTATTGTTTTATTTGCCTTTATCTTAAACATAACCATGTTGTTTTCTACCACAGTACATGCAATATTTTGATAGTTGGTTGTGAGTGGCTGTTTTTTTATGCTTCAAGCCTAAATTGCACAGACAGGTGATCACACAGCTAAGGTTTATCATGCAATTTAGGTCTACCCTCCCCCACACTGATGTCCTGAGACTGCCACTCCAATAGTTGAAACACACTGATGGTATTATTAGGCTGTGAGGATCATATATTTTTGCAAAGAAATTAGGAAAAACATCTGACAAACAGCAAAGATCCATCCATCCATCCATCTATTTTCTGTCAACCTTATCTCTGCTGGGGTTGTGAGGGGTGTTGGCGCCTATCTCCAGCTGTCAACGGCGAGAGGCGGGGCACACCCTCGACAGGTCACAGCAAAGATCCAAACCTCTAATTGCACTTTAGTGTATTAAACCCAATTTCACTTTAAATATATGTATCAATCTAACTTCTGCAAAACCCCAAGTGTTTTAACATCCCAACAGCACCTCTAAAATAATGTTTCCTTCTTTAAAAAAACCGCTACTGAAAAAAAAAACAACAACAAAAAAACAAACACACGGTAAAATTTTTGTCCTTTTTTAATTGCTTAGCAGAAATTTCACTATTTGCTTTGTTTTCTGTTTATCACTAATTTCCCAACAAAAGCACCACAGAGTGGTTAGAGAACATCCTCGCCCACACACTCTGGAAGCCATAAACTATGAGGCAGTTAACAAAATATACTGTAGCACGAAAGGGGGATGTTTTAAACCACAGCAACGTCATATTGTTAATCATCCTGCAGGCAAGGTTTCCTCAATCAATACTGTTGACCAGGGCTCTTATGGCCCCAGAATAAAGTTTAAAAGAGATATAAGCAATAAAATGTTTTTAAAGACATGCATTCAGATACATCTAAAACTTCCTTAAGGAGTGGTCTTATTAATTGATCTTTTGATTTATTTGTGTTGCACCTGCCTGGAACAGTGAACCAATCAGGTATGACCTTTGCTATTCCAATAAGGCCTCACAGACTTAAATCAAATCAGCTGTGCATCCCTGGTTGGTATCTTTGGATTATTGCATCTTGGCCCTGCATCATACAAAATGAAGCAGATTACAAATATGCGCTTGTAAAGGTGAGACAGAACTGCCCTGCAGAGGAGTTGACTAAAGCATGAATCTAAAGGTCACGCTTGCACGTCTGTTAAGTCACATTCCATAAAAAATTCATCATCAAATTTTAAAGTTTGGTAAAAACCTGTCTGTAATCCTTCAAACGGGTTTAAAGACTTTCATTAAATGCATGGAATACCTATCTCACTTGGCAAACATATTGTACAACCTTTATGGTAAACAGCTCTGCAGAATCTTTTTGTGTATGTGTCCTAACTCCATTTACTGACCTTAGCATTCCAATTTTCATACAAATATGCAGTCCGTTCAATTCAATTCAGTCATAAAAACATGTTCAAAGACAAACAGATATTTAAGTTTAATCCTATTTATAAAGCAATGCAGCAAAATGTATGTTTCTCCAAAAGGAAATCCAACCAACTGCATCAGGAAACAGACGTGCAATATGTGCTCCGTGGATTTTAGCCAACACCTTTTCCTTTCAGAGCAAAAAATTCCTCTTTCAGTTGTACCCCTTTATCCAGCGATATGGACTGCAAATAAGAGTATTCAAAGTTTTAATTTGAAGACAAATTTCCATACTGTAATTTTATCAAATATGAAGAAAAAACAAATTTCTGTTTCTGCACATTTAATTACATATCATGGTTTGTATACAACTGCGAGTTTCCTTTATAAGCTTCACCTGACCCATTCCCTTCTACAACCAGTTTATTTTGCTCCCTTGTGTCCTCTCTGCAAACCCTGCTGGGAAGAGGAAAAATAAGGCAACCCCTTCTGGTATAGCCGAACTTAATTTCTTGTTCATTCAATCTATGAAAAATAATGGTGGATGTGTAAAGGACAACATAATGTTGAAACTGAAATCAAAATGTAGATTGACAAGGTTTAATTTATAAGTTAACTAGATTAAGAAGTTTATACATCAATGAAGTAAGGCAGTTGAAGGTTTATGATTTCTTACATCTTGTGATTTTTAATCATTTAAAGGTAGGGAAGAAGTTCCCTCTAGGAGTTTATTTTGGTAAAATATTAACTCCCTGTTGAGTTTTTAACTTGTAGCTTCAAACTACAAACCATTAAAAAAAACGTAAAGCATACTCTACTGTAGATCCTGCTCTGTCCATCTTCAGGATTAACAAGCATCACCAATTCAGAACATCTTAGAATCTAATTTTACCTTTTCATCTTAAGATATTCATATTTTTATGTCGCCAAATTGTTCACTCATTTTTTAAGGATTCGTATTCAAAAAACCATCATCTGAGCTAATCCTCCTTGCTTGTTTTCTCCTATAATGTGTTTCCCGATCACCTCTTTTCTATGAATATCCTCTAAGTTTAGCCATGAGTGCCCTTCAGGTGCAATTATCTGGCAGATTCATGGTTTGTTGCTTGCTGAGGAAGATTTTGCAAGCTAATGCCGTGCCTCACACCCTGTAATGATCCTGATTGATGAAAGGCTCCACAAAACGCCCACCACAGTTCTGGATCTCCATCCGGCAGACCTTATTGTGCTGTTGGGTCAACCTATGCCCACTAATTTAACATTATCTGCACGTCACTTATTACTTGATGGACTGCTGGGCTGCGTGACAGACATCAGCAGGTTGTTCTTAAAGGGACGAGGGGCTTTAGGGAGTGGGAGGAGGAGAAAAGGAGGAGGTGGGATGCTCGCATACCGTGATCTACTCTCTCTGATCACTCTGACTAACCGACGTTGTGGATTCATCATCCATGACCTCACAAGCTGCCTGGATATATAAGCTGGGGCACACTGCTCTCCAGAAATCAAATTCAGACCTCAAGAAGTTGACCTAAGTTTGTCAGCAAAGATCTTGGTAAGTATTTTTTTATTATAAACATTTGTAAGAATATACTTATCTTTTGATACTTAAACTCCTTAAAATGGATTTGCTTTGGTTCACATTTTTAACCAAGACATTTGCACAATCTTAAAGGGACGATTTCTAACCAACTACAGGTACCTGTCTTCTCTAGTGCCATTAGTTGTGGAGTTGAAATGTAAATAAAACTGCAATTTATAGGACTACTTGTATTCTTTCAGGTTTCTAATTTACATCTACTTAAACAAATCTAATTTGATGATGGGTAAATTGCAGTGCTTTTTTTTTGCATGCCCTTAAGTAGAGCCTAAGTAATCAGCAGCCCCCCTTCCATCCTCCTCAGTGCCTTGACCGACCTCCCCAACCCAAGCATGCTGCCCGGGAGAGAAGCTGCTGTCCGGCAGTGCGTGCTGACGAGCCGCTGGCTGCCTGCAGCTCTGGTGCTGCTCCTGCTTCTCTCCTCCAGCTTCAGCCGCGCTCACAGCACCACGGTGGAGCACGACTTTCACATCGTTCACAATGTAGATAACAGAAGTAGGAGACATTTTTGCCTTCTTTCAATGCAGTTATACAGTTACTGTTGGTTTTGTAGATAATTATTTGTGATTTCTATTATTTTTATCTCTCTATCCTTTTTGATTGCCTCACCTGTCAAGATCTTTTATTTTATTTTTTAAGAAATAGAACCTTAATCAAAAAATGAAGCAAGTGGCTTATAGTGTACAACTGGGAGCTGTACCTAAACAAATTATGTTTTTTTTGTTTATTTACCTAAGAAAAAATATATAATCAACTCAGCTGATTTTTACAAATTCACATTTATAAGGTTTTAAATAACCTATCTTGTTTTTTCTAAACTTCGTCTAAAAAAATACTAAAAATTTTATGATATAAGTGTTGCAACATTCTAAAAGTTCTATTTTTATATTTTAACTAACAAAGGGAGTTATTTCTTTTTATGTAAGATGGAGAGTGGTATGAATTGTGAAGCACACAACTATCATGTTTGTTTCCTCCTAAACAGTTAACTAATTGTTTTGTTTCAGTAATAAACCGTAGAAACGACAGAGAATAGAATCAAATAAGAGTAAAAAATTTACAAGTTAAACTAGAAGATGCATCTGAAATGAGGCAGCAGAGTCAGCATATTTCTATTACAATTTTCTTTGCTTTGGCACTTTTATAAAGGAGACATTTAATACTATAGAAATTCATTATACAAAAAAAGCCATTAGGCATTCCATTCCATTTTTATAAAGTTTAAGGGATGTATTTAATTTTTCTTCTTTGCTTTTGCTTCATATTTTTAATAACATGTTAGATCTGTAAGATTTTGTACAACTGAGATTAGAGTCTATACATTTCAGAACCTTGTAAAGGTTTACAAAGTGATGTTGATGCAGTAGAATTGACATGCTCCCCTTCATTTGCAGCTGATGCTTGTATCTCTATGCAATGTCCAGGTCCAGAGATAGACCCGTTCTGGTACGTGGGCCGTGGAGTGCGACCCATAGGGCGTTTCGGGAAGAGACACAGCAGCGTGGATGCTCTTGGAAACAGCGGGATGCAGCCTGTCCTTAGGACATTGGAGCTGCTGCTCAACAGCCTCAGAAACAAAGAAAACCTTGGAAAAGTAATCAGTGGAGAGGAAAACGATTGGTTACCATGATGAAAAGTTCTCACCTTCTGTCCACAAACTTTTTTTATTATCTGAAATGAAGTTGTACATTCGTTTTATTTTGATATAAGCTATAAGCTTAGTCACATCTGTGTAACTCATTCTCTCAAGAGTATCTGTACATAAGACAATGCAATGTATATTGATTAATAAATAAGGATGTGTTGTTAGAATATCAGCTGATCTTGTTTTGTTATGTTTGCAAGAACAAAACAAAAAGTATGCTTCAAACAGAAGTTATTTTTAAGTTTGCAAATTTTATTTCGTAATACATTTCATTTCTGAGAGTATTGTGGCACATAGAGAATCTTTAGTTTTTGCATTTTAATATTTTCCCTATCATGTCGTATGGATTGCAACAGACAGTTACACAGAAAAGGTGAATGGCCCACCTTAGGAGCTGTGCACAGTGAAAACATCTTCTTTGTTGCTCAGGCTGGATTTAAACAGGGAGAAAAGTATTATCTGTTTCTATTTCTCTTTCACTCACTTTCATTATCAGAACCCCGGAGTAGGATTAAGTTACAGTTATTCCACAGCTATAATTTGACTTCCTCTATAAATCCAGCCTCATAAGTTCTAGCTATTTTAATTTTTCTTTTTTACAGTCTCTTGCACACAACACTAATAAAAAGTCTGGGCATTAAACAGGTTGCATTATATCATATCCATCTCTTTTTTGACACATATACATATACAACATTTTGATGAGATATTATTTGTTTACATTAGAAAAATACTGGACACCGATGATTGGACCCTTGCAGATGTGCTTTTCATGAAAAACTTTACATCAATCCCATAAAACCAGAAACATGCTTTTATACTACAACACCTTTGGAGAACAAGACTGACAAAAGTACAGGATCAATGTGCGCAAACTGAAAGATGTGAAAGGCTGTGATGAAAAGATCACTAATAGAAGAGGGAAGAGCATTCATACAGAGCATCATTACATCTTTTATGAAGTCCATCAGGACATCCAACCCTGTTTTTATGTCTCGCCTAAGCAAAAACAACAAGGTGCATGGCTAAATTAGATTCTGACTTATGTAAGTCATCACTAAGTAAAGAAAAGTTTCCCAGAATGAAAGGCAGTCTCTTCAAATCTAGTGTCTAAGGACAGCACAAGTACAGCGTGAATCACACTGGGCACTCAACGCCTTTTGTTGCCACTTATGTTTTTGTAACACTTCTGATAAATGACGGCTTACATTGAAAGCATCACATAAGTCTGTTAGAACTAATTAGGGGTCCTTTTAGGATAGAATAAAGCCTTTAATTTGCAATAGTCCTTATTTCAGCAGTATTGCATAAAAATGTTCCGCCAAGTACAAAAATAAACTGTTTGTAACAAAATCATGTTTTCATGACATTTATATTATATAGCCCATTAGATGTTGCTATGTAAAAACCTCATCAAGATTTTTATTATTACAACACAAATGTTTAGCTATGGCCCAGTATAGGGAAACAATAAAATCAAACACTTTATCTTAAAAGAAGGCCACAAAATTGAAAAGACAAAACAAGACAGTAAAAGAAACAAGATTTTTATAAAAAGCAAATTTTCCATCAAATGTAAGACCTTAAAGGTTCTGTGTTCAGCTTGGTTTTAGACCATATAGTTTGTTTTATACTTTTGGAGTCACTTGAAACCATCAGTGCACTTTCAAATGTACAAGTGTATAGTTGTTGCCAATTTACAAAGCAGAAACCAAAGGTTAATGATGGCTTACCTTTTCTAAAGGATAACTGGGGTCAAAAGCCCAGTCACTTTTTCAATTATATGTCATCCAACAAGAATTTAGAATATTACATTTATTTATTTGAAACAGATTTCTTTTTAGCTGCTACTTCCTAATCAGCAGATTTCCATACATTTAAAGCATTTCATGAAGAGGGAAAGCCTTGCTGAAGCTGGGCATACACTGGATGATTTGTTGCCCTTTTTGGGCTGATTCTCTAGTCGTGCAAGAATTTTGGGATCAGGCCGACTTTCAGCCTGATAGTGCGTTGTGTAGTGTACAGGGGCGAAGCCAGAAAACTTTTATAAGGGTGGCCAGGCAATAACCAATGTACACTGAGGGGTGGCCAAAAGCGGATCGGCACCAGAACCTCTGGGTCAATCTACACTGTTCCAACAGGTAAATAAATGAGCACAACATCCATATTTTCTAAATAAAAACAAAATATCCTTTCTTACAGCCTTTGCTAAAAAAATAGACACATATATTTAAACATCTTCCTAGCTAAAAGGTATAGTTTATGCAATTTATTCAGGTTTGAGATCTGGGACGAACATCTTTTCCTATGTCATTAGTTTCCTTTTATCCGTAATCATTCTGCAAAAAAGTTATAGTTAGTACCAATATCTACATAAATTGATTATTTAATATGTTTTTATTAAAATAGTTATTTATCTATGATTTCACTGAATACTCCTATATGACTTGCAGAAACGAACCATTTTCTCTTTACCCCATATAACACAAAATCTAGTTCTGAAAAGAGCATGAATTCTGTGCTTACAGTATCATCTTTAATATTAGTATATTGATGTGTATAATTAACCAAAATGTTTTTGTTGTCAAGTAAATGTTAATATATGAAAAAATAATATGTTATTCCACTTGAGAGTATTACTGTTGCCACCATCCTTATTAGAGTTGAAAAAAAATTGGCTCCCCATCTAGCTCCGCCCCTGGTAGTGTACAGGGGGTAACAAGGGGCCATCAGCCTCACATGACCACCCACCCGATCAGGAATCGTGAGGGCTAGAGAAAATCAAACATAAAAATTAAGTCAGTCATCGTAAGGTCGTATCAGAGCGTCGGGTCGCACAGTGTAAGAACATGCATCATGTGCAGTGAACTTTTATACAGGATAACCTGCGGTTTCGTCGTACAGTTTGAGCTGTAGCTGAGTGCAACAATTGAATATCACGCAGTGTATGCCCAGCTAAACTAAACTCACTTGAGGTTTTCCCGCTGCATTAGCAGTTGCTCCCTACTTATGTGATACTGTATTTATAACTTGTGATATTTTAACCCAGAAGTTTAATCTAGATATACTAGGATTCAATGGTAGTAGTGGTAGTAGATTTAACCTTTTATATAATCTGCACTGTAAAAAAATCTAATCCTATTTCCTGCTACTTCAAAGTGAGACATACTGGATTCCAGTTTTGGTTGATTTAATCTACTTATACAGATTTAGAATAGCTTTACATTCCTTTCCGTATGCATAGCTCAGCTAGATGGAAGTCAGAGCCTCCATGGCTTTGTCTGCTGCAGGTAGGCCATGTTCTTCTCTAAGTTTGCCATTTACATTGAACTTAACTTAAAGAGAGACATACTGGAGTTGAGTCATGTCAGAATAATTCATTGCAGCTACATCCTCAGTATATCTAAACTTCCTGGATGCCATTTTAGTTCATTCGAATCAGTGAAAAACAAAGAAAATGAAATAAATCTTCAAGCTTAAAAACATTCTAAACTGTCATAAACTATGGTAGAATAAGCTTTTCATCTCATCTACTTTAACATTCAGTTGTTTTCTCCTTATTATACAGTTAATGCTGTGTTTCATTTGGACTAAATAGGATTTTTAATTCAACGTGGAGCTTGAAAAACACCAAGAAATAACAATGTGGAAATTTGGAGATTTCCTAACTATATTTAATAATTGAATATGTATAATGTGACTGCCAGGTCTATATAATACAGTAAAATGTGTGGGTATGGTCTATTTATTAACTGTTTCTTGTTATACCCGTGAAACACATGGCACCCTACAACCTCTTATTTGCAACACATTTATTGAGTGTTGCTAACACATAAAAATTGAGATTAATCAGCATACAAGTGATTTAATTCCTAGGTCAGAAATGAAATGTAGATAATAAAGATAATTTAATTTCTCATATAATTTTCATACTGGCATCTAAAATATATCCCAACTTTTAGTTTAAATTTGCACCAACAGCTCACTGATTAATATTACAAGTGTGCTTTGTAATAATTGGAGCGAAAGCACATTTTAGCAGGAGGAAAAGGAAAATAATTTTTGGCCCTGATACTTTGCATATTTTTACAGGTATTGAGTGCAAGTTTTTTTAATAGTTAAAATACTCATCATTTTATAATAATCCCAACGTGGGAATAACTTATCTAGCCAGTCAGACTGATTTACAACATGCATCAGTCAGGAAAGGAGCAGGTAGAAACCGATTTCGAGAGCCAAACCAGGGCAGGACTAACAGAACCAGGGGAAACAGGTAAAAACCAATCAGATAACTACAGATATTATGCAAAAATCGTGTTTTTTAGAAGGAAAAGTTCTTAGAGTTGTTTATATTTTTCCATCTGGGGCATTATAAAGGGAATCAATTAAGCATTGCTCTCTTGCAGCCTCAATCTTGATCGTTATGATTACAGAAAATCACTTTTATGTTATGGGTACTTCTGGTGCAAATGTAAACACCTGCCTCCAGCACTGTGATTGGTTGAGTCTGTATTTGACTGGACCAATCAGGTTTTCATTTCTGTAAATCACTTGTTTATGTCTGAGCCTTAGCAGACTGACTTACACCCTGGTCAGGCTTGGCAATCGCCACCTGATGTCAGAGGGAAAAACACAAATTTTAATGGGTGTTGCAGAATACTTGCTTTCTTCTTGCTATTTTAGTTTGAGAGAAAAAAACAAAAAAACTACAGTATAAACACTGTCATTTTGTGTTAGGACACTGAAACACAGAAATCACAAAGTGATCTTTCCACATCTTCATTTTACATCAACTGACAACACTCTTGCAAACAGATAAAGAAACCATCAATGCATTCTTCTGTATGTACAGATGTACATATACATATATATTTATAGTTTTACGTAACATGAGGATTGTTTGCAGATTTTAAGGCAGAAAAAACAAATGCTAATCAGCTTACATGAGTGCACTGAGGGAGATAATACTGAGTATGATGATAAAAAGAAACAGCCAGTAATGTTTTCCTGTGAGGTGACACTGTTGTGGTTGGTTGAGGGTGGAGAACACTGGGCAGGCGCCGGTCCCTGCTTGGCTTAGAGTTGGAGGCAGATGCTGGGTCAAGGCACTAGATGTGAAGGGCCCTTGTCCCTGAGGCTCTGTAAAGTGGCCCTGAGGGACTTGTGCTGCTGCTTGTCTCTATGGCCGAACCTGCTGCTCTGACTCCAACTTTTCTGAAATGCCCCCCCCAAAAAAAACAAGTTTTCAGAAAAAAAAAATCTGACTAATAAATAAAAAAATATATACTATTATTCATGAGAATACAGATGACTAAAATTTAGATGTCAGGACAGTAAAACTGGCTTCGGCATGGTGGCCTAAGAGAAAAAAATTCTTCAATAGGGAGTTAATGACACGATCTATTGCTACAGCCAGCCGGACTCAAAGCTTTTGTAAGAAGATGGGTGTAGAAAATGAAATCTAAAAGGAATATAAAAACAGCTCCAACAGGAGAAAAAAAGCCATTTACAAACATGAAAGGGAGGCGACTTCTTGTGGCTTGATAAAACAGCCTTATCATGCTGTTCTGAACGTGTGTTTCCATTACTACTTTACATCTAATGGGGCCTTTCAGTTTCTTAGTCCGTTTTTAGCAAATGCATTCACTTTTGCATCCATTGAGCTGCCACTTTGTCTCTGTAGGTGAATAAAAAAAAACTCCCCTCTTTTTTGTGTCTCTTTAACACTCATATACTCATATTATATCTGCTGACAAAGCTGCAGTATTCAGTTTGTGCCGAGGGGATTTACTTACTTTCCTTTCTGGTAAATATGCAGAACATTAGTTCACCCAAGAATTTTTCTAAACATCTTTGATCATTAAGCCAATTATCTCCCCAAAAAACTGGTTCCCTCTGCAGGTGTTTTGAAAATAAAAATGAAAAAACATACGGTGAAAATGATACCTTTTAATGGAGGTGCTGGGAGTTTCCTCCTCTGATGGCGTGACGAGTCCAGTGTTTCAGGCTGGAAAAGAGACAGTTTCGTAGGTTATACAGCACAGATCATCAGAGGATGATGCTAAGCATGTTCTTTGGCCTAATCTGGGATTATTGGATACACAAAAAGGACTCACTTTCAAAAATATATCTGTTTTCACTTCATAAACCAAATACTTAAAGATACGTCACATTAACGACCAGGAGGGCAATATGTCAATCAATAATACCTTCATAGTATTAATTGCAAAAAAAAAAAAAAAGACTAGAATAATTAAGCCTGCCAAGTTATTTTAACTGAACATTAAATAAAACAAACTACAGGAGAGAAAATCAATACTCTGAATTGGAGGGCAAGAAAGTCCTAATTAATTCAGCTATCAAGTGCCTGAAAAAGAAGTCTATGCAGATCCTTATTAAAGGAGGCTGTCAAACTACCGTATACAAAAAGGAATACATAATAAATGAGTGTCAGAAAAAAAATGTATGATACTTCGTACTATAAAACCTGGAAATAATTCTTTTTGAGGGATTTATAATATGATTAAATATAAATTTATTGACTTTACTGAATTCAATTTAATTCAGTTTATTCTTATAGCGCCAATTCACAACACAAGTCATCTCAAAGCACTTTACAGTTCACCAGATCTTACAGTCAAATAGATTCAAAGTTTTCTATCTAAGGAAAACCAGTTCATTGCATTGACTCATTGACTCAAATGCAATCCTTTACACTAAGCATGCTTGTAGTGACAGTGGAGAGGAAAATTCCCTTTTAACAGGAAGAAACCTCCAGCAGAACCAGGCTCAGTGTGAGCGGCCATCTGCTGAGGCCGACTGGGGTACAAGGAGACAGAAACAGAAATACAAAAAGCAGCTGTAAAAGATGGCCCCATCCAGGAAACACACAGCCAGGCAGACGAGCTCCGAGCCAGCTCCCATCTCAGAGGAAGAATAGAGCACATCCAGCCAGTCACGGTAAGAGAAACAGGACTACACTGGAAAGCAGGCCGATCTCCAGCATCTACTGTAAATAAATTAGTAGTGGGCACAGACTTTTATTTTAAATCTAGATTAATCTCACTGTAATCTTGCAATTAATCTAGATTATTCACTCATTAATGCCAAAGATGTTCATGATATGCGTTTACTACCTCTAGAATTTAAAAGAAAAGCTTTACTTTCTTTGTGTTTGCAAAATCACACGTAATTTCGTCTTCTTACTTAAGATTTTTAGTCATAAATACTTTTTTTTCTCATTTCTTACTGTGTTTTTGCTGCAAAAAATAGTGTCCCACTTCCAGTTATTGATGTCCCATTTTAACAATATAGTGTCTCCAAAAATCTGACACATGCATCGCCTCGATCAACTTCTCATCTTCCGCTGTGTGCTGGTCATTTATTCTCCTCATGATAGTTCACTTCGCAGGTAGTTTGTTAGATGGGTCACCTTTGAACGACCTTGAGTCCTTCAACTACCCTTATGGGCTGGCAGCTTGTGGCTATCCACTGAGCAAGGAGATTGGTTAGCTTGGCTGATAGAGCTGTGCTTATAGCTGCATCCATGTCAACACGTCACGTTCGATGTGGTAATTTCACTGTACGCCTACACAGGTTGTAAGCCCCCAAATATACATCCGCCCTAAAATATCAAGGTTAAAGTCATTGTTAGTTTAGACCCAGCTTCCAACACAACTGTGAGAATAGCTTAACGGTGATATATTTTTTTTAATCGCTGATAGCCTGTTGCTTAGGGTCTGGCATTAACGCAGTGTGTTAACACCAATAATGGCCCACCACTAAAATAAATTACAATGTTAAAAGAGTTCCAGCAGATATTCATTTATGGTACTTTTGAATACTTCAATAACTCAATGAAGATATGGTACCTTCTACATATGTTACCTCCCCATTGAAAAGAATATTAAAATGTAAAATACATAGATATTAGTTTGACTGGTCCTAAGCACAGACAAATTAGAAATTCATCTTTTTGGTGATTAAATGCTGCTGGTGTCACCAGGTTGCAGCAACAATAGCACCCTCTAAGTAAAATTTCTTAAGGGCTGGTCATACTCCCGCAACAGTGTGTCGCAGTGAGGTTGTCACAGTTATGATATTTTTGATTTATACTCAATATTGAAGTGTGGTCTGCGCTATGTTATTTCACGCCACAACGCAAAAGGGGAAAATCACGAACTAGCTGTGGGTCTAGATACAGCCGAGGTGGTGAGGAAGTGGGGGCAAGTCTGTCCGATTATGGAGGGACATGAGGGCAAAAAAGAGCGGGGATCCAAGTGGAAAAAGGATCCCAGCGTTCTCGCGCACCTCGCTCTACTAGCTGGTCCAACTTCACGAGTCGTTTTCTGCAATGGCGGTCATACAAATAAAACAAGCCGGTAAGGTACCAAACAGGAGACGCATAGTGTAGAGCGGATATAGATTTTACCAATCAGAGGCCTCCTGTCTGCGGCACTGTCTGCGGTCACCTACAATTTGGAAAAGGTGCAGCAGAGTGTCTGCGAAAGGGGCGGGGACGTCTCTGCGTTCACTGCGACACCTACGCAGACGACCTAGTTTCGAAGTATAAATCAGCCTTTACTATTGCCTCTTTCCCATTGAGCGTAACAAATGTTTACATTCGATAAACATGTTGCGGTATCCATTGTTTACTTTCCTGATTCTGTCACTATGGTGAAATCGTAAACGCTAAAACTGCATCATGGTGTCACCAGACGCCTCAGGTGGGGGGACAGAGGCCACATAGCTTGCCAGCTAGGGGTTAGACACGACCTTTTTGGCCAATGGGAAGGGATAACCCGGTATTTTCTGTGGGAAAGGGGCTAAATTGAATTAGGTACAACAGAAATGTGCAAATCTATTTAAAAGGACATTACATTACATTTTTTTTGTTCGTTTGCAAAATGTAATTTGAAATTTTATGTTTCATCCTTGCTGTCTGGCATTTTAATTTGTGTCATTGCAGAACTTTTTTCAATGGAAAGACTCTCTGGCAACTTCATAGGATCTACTGTATTATTTCAAGGGCTACTAACACACAGGTCTCACCAAAAAACACATACGGGAGGTCGAACCTGTCTCCTTTTTGAATGATTTGAAGGATGCACATTCCCATGATGTTTAAACTTGGTTTTGAAAACTACAAAAGTTCACAATTTTGTAATTCTAACAACTCAGAACAGTATATGTTTAGTCTGATTTAACATTAGGCCTTTTCTTATGTGGTATATAATGATCAAGATTTAATTCCCTCTGCCGTCGTTATTTAACATTTCTTATCTGTCAGTCAGTGTTTCAGGCTATTAAGTGCTTGTGCAAGTCTGCATGTTACAAAGTAGATGTGAGTTCAGGATTGGAGGTGAAAGTCTAAAGTTAAAGTGTGACAGTGATGAAAAAAGGGGAAGAGAAGACACTAAGCCTGCAGCACCCTATAGGTATGAAAATGGGAACAAAAAAAAAAAAAAGACATAAAGCAAAGGCCTGGCATATTCATTCAAAGGTTCCAAGAACCTCAGATCAGATTTTAAATAAAGTAAATTATATAATTTATTATGTTCCCAGTTAGAGAACACCCATCTATTTTCTCCCGCTTAGTCCTTTTCAGCGTTGTGGTGGGGCCAGTGTCTATCTCCAGCAATCTATGGGCGAGAACACATTCACACCTAAGGACCATTTAGATAAGCCAAGTGACCTAACAGTCATGTTTTTGGACTGTAGGAGGAAGGCGGAGTAACCAGAGAGAACCCACTCATTGACGGAGAGAACATGCAAACTCAAAGCATAAAGACCCTGGGCCGGGAATTTAACCCGGAACCTTCTTGCTGCAAGTCAACAGTGCTTCCCACTGCAAACCAGTTAAAGGACACATTCATGCAAATCAATAGTTAAACCTCCTGGTTTTGATGGAAGTGATACTTTAGGCACATTAGTTAGCAATACATGCAGCTAAAGGTTTAAAACCACTGTTGGGGTGAACATGATGAAAATAAGAGAATCTGGAAGTACCTTGGAGTTTGGCTTGACCTTTGAGAAACGATTGCAGACAGTCACATTTAAGCCAGCTGTCTTCAGAGCTGAAATCCTGGCTTCGATGTTTGATATCTTCAAAACAGACACAAAAGTAACACAGATAAAGCCTTTACTGAGTAGTTCATTAAAAACAACATCCATAGAGGTTTGTTATCTTTTTTTAATAGTTACATAATTCTACCCAGTACCTTTAGTTCAGACTGCTGGACCTGAGCTGCTGCAGTGGCCACCTGGTCCTCCAGGAAAGCCAGCTCGGTGTCTGTAGTCCCCCTGCTAATACTCCTGGCACATTGCTCTAACTCCCCCAGTGCCCCCTCCAGGCCATACACAGCTCCAGCAGCCAGGTACACCTGTATAGGGAGTGATAACACTGTTATTCCCCATCTAAAGCCAGGTGGACACAGGTAGGTAGTGCTGTTTCTGTAGCCTACATTCTCCTCCATCTGGGTAAGCCTCTGGTCCAGCCTGCGTGTGTCAGAGCTGCTGGATATGGGAGAGGCACTCATGGACTCAGACGGGGTGTAGCTCTCACCACCAGCCTCTCCAATCAGGTCCTCTGTTGCATTCAAAACCTTCAGCACTTCTGTGGTGATGCTGCACAGCGAAGCCGCTGAATACTTTTGCTTTAGGTGGAAAACAGACGCATATTTAACAATTCATTGGCACAAATAACACAAATAATAAAAAAGTAATTTAAATGTTTTAAAAATGTATTCAAGTAAATAATATGGAAATATTCATGTACAAAAACAAAACAGAATTTAAATAAAAAAAGGACAAAAACAATTTTCCAAAAATATTTCCAGCATCAAATCAAAAGAACGTAAAATAGCATTGAAGCAAAAAATATGAGAATAAATGTGAAGATATACATGATCACACAAAAAAAGCAGTTTTGAAACAGTACATTTTTACTTAGTTATGGGAAAAGTTTTTTTAGTGGAGCAAAGATAAGCTCTTGTTTTTAGGAAATCGTAACCTCAAAGCTCTCATGATAGATCGAATGTTGAAACATATATTAATTGTATAAATCATCAGGCAGAAGTTGTCATCAGAGAGTGTAGAAAGAGGAAATAATAACTTGGAATAATTGGGAGAAAGGTGAAAGGAAACTGAGACAAAGCCAGAGAAATGGCTGATTTCTTTTCTCGTGTTTTTAGTATTCAAACAATGCCAAACTGTCTTTAATAAAGCAGTGTTTTTTTTGTTGTTTTTTTTAAAGGCTCTGTGTGGATCAGGACTTTTTGTCCTTAATTTTCATAAACAATAGATTTGTTAAGAAAAACTGCTGCCAATAACTTAACCATAAAACAAAATAAAATTTCCTGTTACATGTGATATGAAATTTATGGCGTTAGCATTTACAGTGGTTAAGTGCTGCTTTGGAATAACAGCTGTCAGGGTTAATGGATTTCTTGGCACTTTTGAACTTTATTGATCTCACATTGGAGAAATACACTCTCTGCATTTAACCCATCGACCGTGGGGAGCAGTGGGCTGCCATTGTGCAGCACCCAGGGAGCAGTGTGGGTTTAAGGGTCTTGCTCAGGGACCCAGGGTGTCAGTTGCATGCAAAGGGTGTCAATTGCATGCAGCTATTGACACTTAGACCTACCTTCCTCTATCGACCCAGAAATGTAGTTGTTCAGTTCATTTGCTTTAGCTATGCGCGTCCCTAGTGTTGCATTGTGTTGGGCCTATCCGTTGACCACAAAGGACAGGTAAAATATCTCTCCCACCACATTAATGCCTCCATTACCTATAAGTGTTGGGTGCTGGAGTCTGCTTCTCCCTCTAGGTGTAGCCATTAGGCTGTGGTCGGCTTGGAGGGCAGTTTCTGCGCACCTGCCTGTAATCAGCCTCATCTTCTCCAGTATATAAGAGAAGTAGCCTCATCTTCTCCAGTATAAGAGGAGTGGTCTCTACAGATTCTTTAAACCTGAACTTGTCCTCTATGTGTTTTTTACAGGTTACCTCTTGTGCGTTTTTGAAAAGCTTCCTCTGAGGTACTCACTTACTGAACCGAACCAAAACAAAACTTCAGCTGAAGAAACTCCTGGAAAACCCTCCCTATCCGGCAAGGTACTGCTTCTCTCTCTCTGCCAACAACCTAGAAAGACCAGCCTGCCCTCCAACGACTAGTCCACCTGCGTTCACTGAGAAACCCCCCAGCTCCCAACTCCAGTCCTCCCTGGCGGAAACACCCCACTTATTCAGTAAGCTCCTGTCTGAATCAGCTTGAGTCTAAACCACCCGCTAACCTCCCCTTCTCTGCCTTCATGGCAAGGACGATCCAGCTCCAGTTGCTCCTGCATAATACTATACATTTCTTCTCTGTTTATTGCTGTCAGTTTCAAAGGGAAAATAAAACCTTTTGATCTGAAATCCATACTTCTCCCCGTCTGTTATCTGCATCTGGGTCAAATGCGTTGCTTCAAACATGACAATAAGTTGGTGATGATGGATAGATGGATAACTATTGTAGAAGCAATCATACTCTGCTAGCTTTTATAATATGTGATTATTATATATGCATCGCTCAAAAAATAAAGGGAGCACTCCTATATGTGAATGAAAGAAATATTCTCATTCAATACTTTGTTCTGTACAAAGTTAAATGTTTTGAAAACAAAATCACATGAAAATCAAAAATGGAATCAAATTTATCAAACTATGGATGCCTGGATTTGGAGTCACTACACTACAGGCTGATCATACTTTGATGTACAGTAATGTCCTTGTAACAGGTCAAAATGAGGCTCAGTATTGTGTGTTGCCTCCGTGTGCCTGTATGACCTTCCTACACACCTGGGTTTGCTCCTGATGAAGTGGCAGATGGTCTCCTGAGAGATCTCCTCCCAGACCAGGACTAAAGCATCTGCCAACTTCTTGACTGTCTGTGGTGCAATATGATGTTTTATGGATTGAGACATGATGTCCCAGATGTGTTCAATCTAGGGAATGGGCTCGGCCACTCAGCTCCAATCCACACCATTACCGTACCAATGCCAAACCGGTCATACTGAAGGATGTTACAGGCAGCAGATTGCTCTCCACTGCGTCTCCAGACTCTGTCACGTCTGTCACATTTGCTCAGTGTGAACCTTCTTTCATTTGTGAAGAGCACAGGGCGCCAGTGGAAAATTTACAATCCTGGTGTTCTCCTGCACATGCCAAGTATCCTGCACAGTTTTGGGCTGTGGACAAAACCCTCACCTGTGGAGTTTGGGCCCTCATACCATCCTCATGGATTCACTTTCTGTTTGTGCAGACAAGAACATTTGTGGCCTGCTGGAGGTCATTTAGCAGGGACCTGGCAGTGCTCTTCCTGTTCCTCCTTCTACAAAGGTGGATGTATCGGTCCTGCTGCTGGGTTGTTGCCGTGCTATGGCATCATCCATGTCTCCTGGTGTTCTGGCCTGTCTCCTGGTAGAGACTCTAGCCTCTGAAACACTACGCTGACAGACACAGCAAACCTTCTTTCCACACCTAGAAGACCTGCACTACCATCTTACGCAACCACAAGTGTGAAAGTACCACCAACATTTAAAATTACATAAAACATCACCCAGAAAGCATTGGTACTGAGAAGTGGTCTGAGGTCTCCTGCAGAACCACTCTTGCTAATTGCCAAAAATTTCCACCTGTTGTCTGTTCCATATATACAGCAGGTGAAATCGATTGTCAATTAGTGTTGCTTCTTAAATGGACAGTTTGATTTCAAAGAAAGGTGATTTAATTGAAGTTATATTGTGGTTTTTATGTGTTCCCTTTAGTTTCTCTGTCCAGGCTCATATGTTTAGAAGATACACCCAATTGTCCAAAAACTAGTCATAAATTTAGCTACATATGCATACACCTAACAACTTGTTTTAAACTGTTGTTTAATATTTAGGGAACTGTTGAACGTCGTGTTTTCTTGTATTTTGTATTATCAAGAGTGATTACAATTGTTAGCCTGTCATAGTTTTATCACCGGGTAGCAAGAAGTCCAGGATATTTTTTTGTCTGCATATATTCTAATAATCTAATAAGTGGTATAAATATAACAAAAACTTACAAATATTTGTGACACTGAGGATTTTGTAAAACATATTTTTCCTTATTTTTTTTTCTCTCCACTGAATAGGTTTACCTGTGGCGCCAATCCATGTAAAGGGGAAGTGAGAGGGTCATAAATGATCAGCAAAGATGTTAATTAAAGAAGCTTGCATTGAATGGAAAGAAAGACATGTGATCAATAATGATTAAATCACCAGGTGACACTTTGGTTAATGGCATCTAAGGCATATCGATCCTGTTTTAAGGAAGTGCGATTCTCCAAAAGGTGCTTTGAGGTAATGTTACAAGAGACAGGTACACAGATGAAAACCTAATAAAAGAGGTGGTATCTTTTCTTCCATCAGTATTCAGTGATCTTAGATATAAAGAACAGCAGAAAAGGACAATCTGAGATAGGTATCGATCTGAACCAGTCAATAGTCGTATGAAAATGTCCTCATCTACTGAGAAGAGCCAGGATCAAACAGCCGACATATGCACAGTTGTTTCTATTTGTACTTTTATTCTGTGACTCATCTACTGGTCGTGTTCATGAATTTCTAAAAGGAACACAGACCTGCAGCTCTGCACGTAGCTTCTTCAACCGATTCCTTCTAACCATCTGAGGAACATATTTTCAAACTTAGTCACCACTGCAAAGTTAAACAAAATACCTGCAGCTACAATAATCCAACAACCGTTAAATGTCCAGATACAACAAATTTTTCGAGTAGTTTATTTCTCTACTTTTTTCCCTAATTCTTATGCCTCCTTATGCTACTGGTATCAATGTGCCCCACTTGTTTGATTCACTTGTATTTATATTTTTACAAAAATATAAACCTCTTGTTTGTTCGAGAACATGCTGAGGATGACGCAAACTAGAAATTTAGTGGATAATTACATCAGCTGTGCAGCCACACAATATACTGTAGAAGAGTCACTACTTATAGTTTAATCTAATAAAATCCAAGCTGGATTTTTAAATGGTGCACATTTGAAAAAAATACAAATGAAAAATATAGACTAAATAGACCAAATTCTGGAAAAAATCTGTGACGCTACAATGTTTTCTGCCCCAGTGACTTCCTAATGGGGGACAAGAAAACCGACATAAATAGATCTCACTGGTAAATGTGCCATTCACAACATAAGAAGTAACTGTGACTCATAAGAGCATTGATAATGGATCTGCCAAACGACAAACGCTGATCCTCATTTTTCTGATTTATCTGTGTGTGAGGATGTTTGTACCTGACTTTGTGCTGGTTTAGTCAGATTTGCTGGATTACAGCTATTAATCCAAGCGGCTGTAGCTAGCATTTTTAATCAGTGTTCTTGATCAAAAGGTATTTTATTCTATTTGGGAAGTTTCTTCTTGTGTTTCATTCCAGATGTGTAACAGGAGATGTTCCCGTTTGCAGCAGTTCAGTTTGTTGCTGTCAGACAGCTGTGCTGTTCTCTTCATCTCTGAAGGGAAAACTCAAAGAAAAGCACCTTATAAACTGACTCATTCCTTGTTCCTCATTTCCATTCGGACACTTCCCAACCTTGAAGGTCCATGTATTTTATTGTGTTTTTATGTGCCACACATACAGAGTGATGCCTTGTTAGTGGAAGAAAAATGATTCATCAGTTTCAAAATGCTTTTACAAATACAAATCTGAATGGCATGTTTTGCATTTCTGCATGCCTTAATCTGACAGCCTTGAATAAAATCCTGAGAATGACCGTCTGTGAGTATTTCTCTGAATGGGAAGCATCAGACTGGGAGCATAATGAACATCTTTACAGGTCCTTCTCAAAATATAAGCATATTGTGATAAATTATTTTTCATAATGTAATGATCAAACTTGAGCATTCATATATTTTAGATTTATTGCACACTAAATGAAATATTGCAGGTATTTTATTATCTTAATACTGATGATTTTGGCATACAGCTCATGAAAACCCCAAATTCCTATCTCACAAATTTAGCATATTTCATCTGACCAATAAAAGAAAAGTCAACCTTCAAATAATTATGTACAGTTATGCATTCAATACTTGGTCAGGAATCCTTTTGCAGAAATTACTGCTTCAATGCGGCGTGGCATGTAGCCAATCAGCCTGTGGCACTGCTGAGGTGTTATGGAGGCCCAGGATGCTTCGATAGCAGCCTTTAGCTCATCCAGAGTGTTGGGTCTTGCTTCTCTCAACATTCTCTTCACAATATCACACAGATTCTCTATGGGGTTCAGGTAAGGAGAGTTGGCAGGCAAATTGAGCACAGTGATACCATGGTCAGTAAACCATTTACTAGAGTTGGGCCGATGCCATTTTTTGGCCCCGATACCGATACCCAATACCTGGCTGTGCAGTATCGGCCGATACCGATACCATAATCATGTAAAATAATTGCCATCATGGCTTTGTCAAGCTGCTGCCTACCTTCGTGAAGCAGGAAAAAAATCTAATACAAAGTGAATCCAGTAGAACTTTTTATTGCCTACCAGGAGTGGGTGACAATAGTTGAATAAACTTATGGCTCTCAAAATGGTATGGGTGCCCTATTTGTTGGTACTCGCCGATACCGATACCACCATTTTAGGGCAGTATCGGGGCCCCGTCCGATACTGGTATCGGTATCGGTGCAACACTAACATTTACCCGTGGTTTTGAAAAATTAAATCTTCATCTCCATACAGCTTTTCAACAGATGGAAGCATGAAGTGCTCCAACATCTACTGATAGCTAGCTGCATTGACCCTGCCCTTGATAAAACACAGTGGACCAATACCAGCAGCTGACATGGCACCCCAGACCGTCACTGACTGTGGGTACTTGACACTAGACTTCTGGCATTTCCTTCTCCCCAGTCTTCCTCTAGACTCTGGTACCTTGATTTCATCCAAAAAAAGCACATGGGACCACTGAGCAGCAGTCCAGTGCTGCTTCTCTGTAGCCCAGATCAGGCGCCTCTACTGCTGTTCCTGGTTCGAAAGTGGCTTAACCTGGGTCATGCGGCACCTGTAGCCGCAGGTGCCGCATAACAGCCTATTCATTCAGAAATATCTTTCTGTGTCATACCCTCTTGCTTTAGGGTGTCAATGATGGCCTTCTGGACAGCAGTCAGGTCGGCAGTCTTACCCATGATTGGGGTTTTGATTGAAATCTTTTGCAGGTGTATAGAGTTAATTTGTGGATTCAGATGATTAGGTGCATAGCTAGTTTAGAGACCTTTTTCATGATATGCTAATTTTGTGAGATAGGAATTTTGGGTTTTCATGAGCTGTATGTCAAAATCATCCGTATTAAGACAATAAAAGACCTGAAATATTTCAGCTAGTGTGCAATCAAGCTAAAATATATGAATGTTCATGTTTTATCATTACATTATGGAAAATAATTAACTTTATCACAATATGCAAATATTTTGAGAAGGACCTGTATTTGTCATTGTACAAATTTGCATGGAGCTAGGAGGGCAAATCTGAATGTAAACCTGTTTGAGTCTTAAAAACGGGTTTATCTTAAGGTTCCAGCAGGGCAAAAATCTTAAATATAAAACCCACTATGATGGAGGAGCAGGGTTTTCGGTAGTTATGTATAAACATATGAAAAGGGTTAGTCGGTATGCATACTTCTGCAACGCAGTGTGCATAAAATAAAAGGTTGAATACTTTGGTTGGGGAGTAATTCACACATAACAAGAATGAATGGACCCATGACTGTGATTCATTTTGACCTTTCGAGGCTTTCATTAATAAAAAGGTCTCCCACAGAAAAGGGCTGCTGACTCAAACCCACAATTGTTTTTCACCATGCTCGTTTACACTGCGAATGAAACATTTTGTCCCGGTAGACCGGATATTTGAGTCTTTAGCCGTATCTTCTTGCAAAAACCAGAGGAGGTTTTTCCCTCTCCTGCTTCTCAGTGACCTCACCTGCTGTATGACAGAAGAGAGCAACTGAAGCTTCTGCTGTTGTTCAAAGTCATTCTGTCCCACCTGCTTCAAACACAGACACACATAGAGAAACACAGAGCGCAAATAAAACCAGCCAAGCAAAACATATCAAAGCAGCAAGCTCACAGCGTGACGTAAACAGTGTGGTTTCCACTAAAAGGCTGCATTAACGGAAGACGTTTAGGACAAAACAGACAGAGCATGCCAGAGACAGAGAATGGCTTAAAAATTGAGGAAAATTAAACCCAAAGTGTGCATCATTTCTACTCTCACCTGGTTGTTTGACAGCCCCCCCTCCTGGGAAGAAGGTGTAACAGCAGGTGAACTTGCGCTGGATCCACTCCTCTTTGCACCACCTTTCTGTGCTGCTTCCTTCTCTCCATCTTTTTTACGCTGTTTCTTACTCACTCTGTTAACCTCTCCTCTTTTCTGCTCTTTCTCAACTACTTTCTCTACAAAACTCTCTGCTCTTTTCTCCAACACTCTCTCCTGAACTCTCCTTTCCTCTCTTACTGAGGCACTCTTCGTTAACCTGGTAGCCCTTTGCCCATTTACTTGTTCCATCACTTCACTTTCTTTCTCTCTCTTGACACTCGTACGCAGTCTTTGCTTCTCTGTTTGCTTTGGTCTTGGCTTATCTCTGTGATTCTCATTGTCTTTTTCCATCAGCTTGTCCTCTTCATCAGATGAGGAGCTGTCTTTGCTGTTCCCTCGGCTGACCAGCTCACTGATCCGGGACCGAATCTCTTCTTCCAGGTGATCTCCAGAACCTGATCCAGGCCTGGAGCCCCTATATACTATTTCTGACTCCGGGGCCACTGAGCTGGACTGAGCAGCGTTTGGGGATGGAGAATTTGGAGCTACAACATCCAAGACCCCTGCTTCCACAGTCATTGCATCTAGTTTGAGGGGATCTGGAGCAATTAGTGGTGCTGAGTTACTGTCAGGCCCTGGCTGCTCTTCACTTAAGCCTCTTTTCAGCAGGGCGTTGAGTAGAAAACCACTGTTCTCCTAAACAAAGCAGACAGGCAAAGCAAGATGTAACTAAGTTATCCACGATTTAAAATGATTTGGTCTACTAAAAAGAATTATAGAAACTTTTTTGGCTTCACATATTTGTAAACTAAACTATTTCTTTTTGACACAGCATTGATATGAGACAAGATAAAAAATATAAGATATTTTACCTGTGCTAAAGGGTAAATGGACTGTGCATGGTCCTGGCCTCCAGGCTTGTTCTGCTCCGTTGATGACTCCTTTTTGCTTTTCCTTCGTCTCCGTGATCTTCGGACACACTGCCTGTCTTCTGCTTCGCTGCTGTCCCCCATTATCTGCAAAAAAAAAAATAAAGTTGCCATTTTAATTTCTCTTCGGAATCACATCAGGACACATTTGAATAAAGTATTCTTTTAAATAACTACAGGAGATGTCAAAAATGGTTAGCATCCCAGTGGAACATTGTTTTATTTGATCAAAATGAGACTTTAATTAACTATTTCAACCATTTTTAAACGTTACACACTTTTCTATTGTTGCAGGTTTTTGAGAAGCCTGCAGCTTCATATATCCAGACAATTTTAATTATTATAGGCTTTAGTCCTTCCTAATAAGGTAAACATTTCTCAGATTGCTGAAAGGGGGAATTGTGGTATCCTGCAGTGCGTGTGACTGTACTAATGTTTTTTTTTTATACCTTTAATTTGTCACAAAAAAAAGAAATAAAACAAGTTTAAGTCATAAAAAGACAAATTTTTATGTCAGTAACTAGTAACTAGCCCTTTTTAAAATCAGTTTTTTAGCTTGCATAGAGGCAGAGCTCCATGCTGTCAGGTGCTCTGGCTGCTGACTCAGCTGGAGTTAGATTTCTCCTCTAAACACAGTCATGATGTCTGCCAGTCAGTCCTTCATTTTACATAAATTGATTTGTCACAAAAAGCAGTTTTAGGAAGTTTTAAGCAAGAAAGTGCTTGCTTAAACTAACTGCACTTTCTATGTGCCGTTAGTTCATTGAGTTCATGAGCCTTTTTTCAATTGTGCCTTCAGAGCTGCAAAGCTCAGCAGACTGGCTGCCAGGACAGTACGCTAATTGGACAGCAGCACTAATAATCCACAGTTATAGCTGCCTTAACTTCCATCCATCCATTTTCTTTACACGCTTAATCCCAAGTGGGGTCGCAAGGGATGCTGGTGCCTATCTCCCAGCTGTTTATGGGCAAGAGGTAGGGTACACTCTGGACAGGTCGCCAGTCCATCGCAGGGCAACAAAGAGGAAAACCACACATAAGGACACTTTAGAGAAGCCAATTAAGAAGATGCAAACTCCATGCAGAAAGACCCCAGGCCAGAAATTGAACCCAGAACCTTCTTGCTGCAAGGCAGCAGTGCTACCCACTGCGCTACTGAGCAGCCCGGAACCAAACCAATAAAACTAGAAAACAGAAAAACATGGTTCAAAGTGAAACTGAAAACTGAAAATAAAAATTAAACAGAACCAAGACCATGACAGCGTATACTGTCAACTTATAAGTTCAGATATACTTTATGATGGATGCAAATAAATAAGCTTTTTAGATATTGTTTTGTGGATGACTAAAAAATGTTTAATGTATAAAGAAATTTTATTTTCCTTCTACCCCACAATGATGCACTCCTTTGTGTTTTTCTAATAATTAAATCCAATTTATCCACATAATAATTGTGCTTGTGTTAAAGAATGTAATATAGGTATAAATGTTTTGCAAAGTGCTGTGTCACTTTATATATTACAATGAAATTAAGGAACATAAGGCATACAGGGCTGATCCTTGTTAAAGAGTCGTCTCTCTGCTCGATATTAAGGTATGCTTACTTTCACCCAAGTGTCAAAGTCAAGGTACTAACAAGGCAGAAAGGATGGAGCACCAGGCTTGTGTCAGTCTTTGTCATTTGTTACTTCATTAAATTGAGTTATTGAAAAGCTGACTAGCCAGGGGCAGATCACCTCTACGACTGTTTCAAGATCATAGATACATGGAAAAATTATGCAGGATTCTTCTGGACCAAGATGCAAAAATGCACTCAGGTTAAAAAAAAGCGAAAAATGAAAGCAATTCATGTTAGCATGATCACATTAAAACTTTGAATGTACATGCATTTTTCACTTTATGAATTGATCTATTTTCGGTTTAATTAACCATGGAGTTTGCATTGACGGTATTTTTCTAGTACAATAGTTTGATCAAAGCTGTAGCAGAGAGCACAGAATACTAAAATATTTTACACTGCTTTAGTTAGAAAGAGAAATAAAGTTATTGATTCAAGCTCATTTTAATAGAAATTGTTTATTAATGTGATTCTAGTGCAGAGATGGAATATATATGGGCTTAAAGCTTTTTTTTGTGTTGCAGTTTTTTTTATATGATATTTACCTGTTTTTTATTTTTTAAAAAGTAAATGTATTAATTAGTTCAAGCCATTATGAAGCAACAATTCTAGTGCTAAAAAAATTTAAATGTCAAATACTTATTGACCCTTCCCTGCTTATGGATAGAGTGCAGTTTATTCATAGAGGAGTTTAAGCAGTAACATGACTCTGAGGCTGGTCATCCACTACTATTCATTAAATAAAACAGTAATGAAAATACTTTAAAGGGGGTAGAAAGAGAGTAATATTTCATCTTTACACACTGGGAGTGAGGAGTAAAACCATTTATGGGCTCTTACTGCCACCACCTGCTGGACTCAAAGTGTAGTGCAGTTTCCCCTTATAGTGATTTAACTAAATGCCCAGAAGCCTTTCAGTGTAATGACAACAGCAGCAGGCTGAGGGATTCTCTGGGGTTTGTTAGCCTGATGCCTTTTAGGGCTCAGGGCCTTTGAATGGAAAAGATTATCTGTACCGGGGGTCACCAACTGTTATAAGACAGAGGGCTACTTCATGGGTACTGAATCATAGAAAGGGCTACCAATACTGATCACTTATTGGTGGTCAGTATTGGACTGGATGAGTTAGGGTTCACCTAAACTTCATACACAATAAACAGATTTGTTTTTTCTTTTCATTTCTAATTTTCTTTTAGATACTGTAATTTTGAAATCTCTATAAATCCTCAAATGCTGTATGAGATTAATACAATGAAATGCTCTATAAATGATAAAAAAAAAAAGAGAACTAACAGAATAAACATTACAAACTTTGTCCAGTGATTAATTGTTCTGTTTCAGAAGATGCTGAAGGACCCTGATTGGTCACAGTGTTGGTGACCCCTACTATCTATTGTGATGGCATCAGCCTTTTATCATTCAATTTGGAAAAATAACAACTCTACCTTAGCTGAATCTTTTTAGCCATTAGCTCATTGTCATAGTTTGCTGAAAGGTTACAAGCGAACAGCAAACCATTCTTGTTTTTCAAATTTACCACCAGTTTTTTGAGTCTATAGAGTAACAATGAAACATCACCTTGGGATTAAAGTTAACGTCCAGTGCCTCTGTGTGGGGTAAGTATGGAGATAAGCTCTGCTGAAAGTGCTGTTGGTACAGCAGCTGTTGATGAGGGTGCAGGTGAGAATCGGGTGCTCCTTTCTTCCTCGACAAGTTGTGAGTTGGTTTGCGAGGACATGCAGACAGCACTGATGAAGCCTCTGAGTCTGAGTTGAGGGTCTCTGTGTTGGTGTACAAGCCAGAGGATGGCGAGGTAACGGGAGGGTGCTGGGTGTAAGTCCACTCAGGGTCGTGCTGCGAGTCCGTGTAGTAAGTCTCATCTGACAATTTGCGCTGAAACTGTTTGAGGGCCGCGCCCCAGCCGCCTTCATCCACCTCTTCTGAGTCAGATCCCATCTCGTCATAAGCAGAGACCACGCTGGACTCTTTCTCCAGCACGCTGAACACTAAGCTCTTCCTCTTGGTGAGCAGGCTCGGTCGGGAAAGCTGAGAACTGTGGAGAGCAATCCAGTTCCCATCTGGGCTCTGCAAAACCGACGATGTACCTGGAAGCACAGATTTCAAATATTTAAAGTGTTACATCATTTTCAAATGCTCATGGAATAAAGGTCTGAAAAGTGTGGCATGCTTTGTATTTAACACCCTGAGTGCTTTTTAGAACCTCTTTTTGCAGGAGGCAGATGCTTCCAGTGGAATTTAGAAAATCAGAAAAAAGTTTTACAGTCAAATGTTAAAGGAATTAGGTGATCTGGTTCTACACAACAAGCAAACATACAGTAAAGAATACATTCGGTAATTTAAAATTCCAAATTCATTTGAAATTAGTTCAGTACTTTGAATGAACCCCTCTAATACATCTATATGGTACAGTGTTAACTATTACATTGTAGCTCTAACTAGATGTAGCTTCGATGTTCTGGCAGACTACCTGATACTTAGCTCTACCACCACCTGATGATCAAACCACCATCATTTCTTATTGTGCATATGTTCAAGGCAATTTGGATCAGCTGATCCTGATATTTTATTTGTTTATTTTCTTAATTTGTCACTTATTCTGTTATTTTCTAAACTTTTCTAAGGTCCACATTGTGTGACCACTTCTGCTATAAACTTTTGTTGCTGCTGTAACACCACAATTCCCCTTTGTTGGACAATAATGGGATTTTCTATTCTATTCTTTTTGCTACGTCATTTTTATGCCATACAGGCCATTTTTTTCAGCCAACAACATTTAGTTTCATCTGACCAGCAGAGGTTGTTCCATATGTTCCCCCAATATGGCTTGTAATAAACATTAAATTGCTCTTTTTTTGTTGTTTTAAAAAAAAGAGTAGCTTTTACTTACCATGTAAAAGTTTTTTTTACTTTACCAGATTGGTTAAATGCATCAAGAATACATTATTTCTTAACATACTCCTATTTTTAATGTCTTCTCAAATTTGTCCCTGTTGTGTCTGTTGTGATCCCTGCTCATCATGCTGAATTAGAGCAGTTGGTTGCACTTGATTTTTCCTACAGGTATCCGTTGAGTTGAATATATATGCACATGACACTTTTCAGAACTTTGTATTGATCTAACACACATGACTCCAAAAAAACACATTAAAGTTTGCAGCTGATATGTAAAAACACAGAAAAAGTTCAATAGGTGTGAATACTTTTCAGAGAAACCGTATTAATAAGAATATTAATGTGTCTGAGACTTTGATCTTTTACTTGAGTTGTCTAAGCGATCCATGCTTTTCCAGTTAGGTAAGGATGCAGCCTTGCTCTCCCTCTTTAGAGAAGCGTACTCGTGCAAACTGCTGCCACCACCTGCAGCAGCAGCCTCCTCCTCCTCCTCTGGACCTTTTACAGGGGAGTCGTCACTGGTGAGGGAGAATGCTGAGCGGGACCGCTGCAAGATGAGGCATGGAAATGCACAAATATGAGTGATACAGTTACAGGAGGATGCAGTTCTGCAGTTATACTGGCAGTGATTTAAGTATTCCAACAGCAGGGGGCGCTACAAAACAAGGAAAAGAAAAAACATGCACCCATTTTCATTTACTAAATTACCTCTGGACACAAATTAATTAAAAGGGTATTTATTTCAGTACTCAACTTCTGATTTGACAATAAATCTTCAAAGCGGGCTCATGGTTTCAGAGTTCAATAAGGTTGTTTCTTAATGGTTTACAAGGGTTTTCTGTGTTTAGCTTCAGGGAGAGCCTAAAAAAGAGTAACACTCCTAAGATAAAAGGCATGAACCCTCATAATGAGAGGGATATGATCTTAATCTGTAGAGTTTCAGTGCAGGGAGGCAGCTGTGAGAGTCCATTTGCACCCACTGTGAGTGTTATTGTGGAAAGCTGATAAAAAGAAGAAGTTTAGGAGGATCCCTGCATATTTCACAGGACTTTGATGTTCTGTGAGTAAAACAGCAGGAAGTGGAGAGGCCTGGGGGGTGGTTCAGCTTTGATGCTCCGCTCAATGACAAATCTATAGGAATCCCTGATGGCTATTAGCGTGATTCAGTGAAAAGCAGATCCACTGATGGATGGTTAATGTTGTAAATTTGTGCATCCAGTGTCGCCTGCTTCTCCCCAGGTTTAAACATTACCTGAAATTAGGCAAACTTAACTCATGTTTTTTTTTTTTGTTAGCTCCCACTGATTCATCTGCCTTCTAATTTGATTAAATGGCATTTTGAACAAACTTGTATAGATTTCTATAATAGAATAAAGATCTAAATTGTAGACAAAGAGCTGCAAGATATATTAAAAAAATGCTCGATTAGAGATATTTCAACTGCCATGCATGCATATGCTGTATGACAGTAATGTTTGATTTTTGGAGGATTGATACTTATCCTGGATGTATAGTTTTAGTGGCTAACAAGCTAATTTGTACAGAAATTGGCAGAAGCACTAAGATGAAGGAAAGGACAGAAAAGGGCCAAGAAAATTAAGGTTGATTATAATTAATATGGTCATCACCATATTCAGCATCATTAATGCAGTTAAATTTTTTCCTGCTGTTTTGCAGCCCTGCTACCACATAGTGGTTGTTTGCTCCAACATATAATGTAGGGATATTATTAAAATATATATATATATATAGAAACAATAAAACAAACAAACAAAAAAAAAACAAACAAACAGAGAAACGTAAAGAGTATATATTTTCCAAATCCCAAAATGGTTAGATTAGCTGAATATGTGCAGGGTGCTGTTTACACCTAGCTTTAACACATGTCCTCTTCAATCAGATCACGCTCTGCTTCACTTGACGATATTATGCACATAGGGCTGCATGACTGAGTAAAAATGAGACTATTTGAGAGAAATGAGAATATTTGTGATTGAAAATATTTTCCACTACAGGTACTCGAAGGGGCTACTGTTGGCACGATTTTTATGTATAATTTAAAAGAGCTTAGATTAAAAAAAACAAACAAACAAAACAAAGCAAAAGACAAAAAAAGCTTCTTTGGAACATTTTCTCAAAGGGATCCATACTCCATGACAAACAAGAGATGTGTCCTCGCCGACAGCTGTGGGAACAAATCATTTATTTTTTAATTTTGCAGACTTGTCATGGGAGTTCTCACTGCTTGTTCTCGGCACATCGTCTGGGCAAAATAATATGTGTGATTGTTCTGGATTTGGAGGAGTGTTTTTAAGCAGGTAAAGTGGATAAATAATGTAACTAACATTATTGGATCACATGGAACCAGCTAAAGAGCTGATAAAATGTTAAAATGCTCTCCTCCTTGCTTATCAACCTGAAAAATAGCCTCTCTGTCTTTTCGAAGTGGGTTCTGTAATATTTTATGTATTTTGTCTGTTTGTTTTTGCTTATTTTAAAGCTAAATGAGCATGCATATATATATATATATATATATATATATATATATATATATATATATATATGTTCACTATGCATGTATGTTTGTTATAGTANGTAATTAACAGAAGTCAAGCATTTCATTGTATATATATATATATATATATATATATATATATATATATATATATATATATATATATATATATATACATATGTTCACTATGCATGTATGTTTGTTATAGTAGCATAGTCTAAAACCAGAAATCACAAACACTTCTCATTTCATTCTTTGTTTTGTCATATTTTTAAACTTTTTTCAAATCTTAATTTTATAAATAAAATAAATCAAACTTCACACTTTCCTAGGATTTGAAGGAATTTTGAATGTAAACCCGACTTAGAGGCTATACAAACCCCACCATGGAGCTGTAAATTTGAACAAAGAAAAAAACTACAAAACCAAAAAACTAAATTTGATAACCACATACTTGACTAACTCAGTCAGTGAGATATTGATAATTATATCAAAATGAATGACAAATGATCTGACACAGAAATTATATGTTTTTTTTTTTTAATACACTAAGATTTTTAATTAATATCAAACCTAGTTGACCTGTGTTTGACATGGTTATGGTTCCATCATACCCACTATGAGGTATACAAGGGAGGATCTTACAGCAAAGTTGTGGTCTAGATTCAATTCAAGTCTCCGCTATTTAGACAATTATTTAAAAAAAACCATTGATTTTTACCTCCTAAAGCTTAATCTTAGATTTTTTAACATAGCATCACACCCACACCCCAGGGAATTAAAGGGTTAACCGAAGAAGAACAAGAATTATGCAGAAAATATAAATAAACTATATGGTTGGGAGGGAAAACAAGCTAGAAACGGTATACATCCATCATTAGGACATGTTGTTATTGCATTCCTGACAGGCATATGAAAGGATGAAAGTGACTCACCCAGAGAGGGTAGGGGGTCTTTAGAGGGTCTTGTGATGAAGTGTGAGGTTGAGAAGGAGATGGCAGCTCGCTGGTCTGGATTAGAGATTGGGGTTGTGGCCAGACAAAGTCATACTCTGTCTGCATCTCTGATCGCTTCCTCCTCTGAATGATCTGATCAGAACAAAAGAAAGATAAATATAACATCTAAAAATATAAGGATTTCAACACATTTATGTAAAATGTTCATAGTTTTAAACATTCCTTTTTAAAATAGAACTCTAAATTAAATGTACTTTAATTAACCAACTTATTTTAGTGTAGCTCAGCGTTTTATGCTTTAATATAACTGTTCCAATTCTGACAACAAGACAAGATGATTGCCTATCATTTATGCATTCTAGTTCGAATGATGTTTGTTTGAAATATTTATTTTTGGTTTAGTGGAAAAATAAAGTCGTAAAAAGACAACACACATTTGAACAGCTTACTTTTTGTACAATTGTTGTTGCGAGTTCCTCTATGAGCTCCTCTTTGTGGTCCCGTAGATATCGAGCCTCATTCTGTTTCTCCTACACACGCATTTGATTCAAAAGAGTAGAAAATTACTTGAAAAGTTTGGAGGAGAATAGTAAAGAAAAGTTAAACAGTGTCCTACCAAACTATCCCGGAACTCCTCAGCCTTAGCAATGGCCTCCTCTATAGCTTCCTCAGCAACACGCAGGGCGACTGTGAGGGTCTCTGCCATACTGTGTCCTGTTATCACAACAAAAGACCACAGATATGGATAAGTTAATCACATAAACTGGAGTGAAAGCCTCTAAAATCCATCTAACCTGCCATATGCCTGACAAGAATACATATTCATATTTTTACTCAGCTTGACTTTTGTGATTCCCAAACTGAAGTTCCCATTTAAACTAGACTAACAGAGCATATGGGCAGGAAAATTCAATAGGAATCTTTGTAGATAAGTTTTTATCAACACATCATCTTGGAGCATCAAAAATGCAATCTACTCCCTATAGCATATGATTTTGTGTGAGAATATTAGCACTTCTGAGCGTGCACAAATCAGAGACACTAAAACCAGGACTGGCCATAGTAGCCTCAGGTCTCAAATTATATACTGGGTATCTGAGATTTTAATGCTGCCGCTACTCCTGCATACATTCTTTAACAGAAAAAATTTGATTAAGCAGCTAAAATAATCAACCTGCAGCTTCACAACAACAAATAAGGTAACAAGATCAGGCTCTTAATAACAGGTACTGGTGTTTCCGTTGAGTATTGCTCCAGCAGGAAGGAAGCAGTAACACTTCTAAATTGTGCATAGCCTGGTTAATGTGGAAATGCAGGAAATTCTAACTTTTTGAGTAATTTAATACATAGATGGGTTCATTAAATTAAAAGCAATGATAAACTGCTGATTAAGGGTGTATCCGCCTCCAGAGCAAGGTGAAATAGATGGTGTAGGTGCAGAAACCATTCATAAATATATAGGGATATTGTAAACTTTAGCCCCTAAAGCCCCTGTCACACCTTGACGATTTATCCAGCGTATGCCTGATGTCACAGAATCTCCTAAAACGCTGGCGTACGCTGAAATTTCTATGTATTTTTTCAATTTTGAGTATTCATAGCGAGTCCAGGACATGATGTTGGTGGACGGATCGAGACATGATGTCCCAGATGTGCTCAATGGGATTCAGGTCTGGGAAAAAGCACAGGGCAGTCCATAGCTCCAATGCCTTCATCTTATAGAAACTGCTGACACACTACAGACACATGAGGTCTAGCATTTTCCTGCAATAGGAACAACCCAGGGTCAACCATACCAGCACATGGTCTCTCAAGGGATTAAAGGATCTCATCTCGGTACCTACTGTAATGGCAGTAATGTTATCTCTGCCGAGCACATGGAGGGTTGTGGCCCTCAAAAGAAATACCACCCCACACTGTTACTGCCAATCTGGTCATGCTGAGGGATGTTGCAGGGAAGAGATAGCTCTCCACAGTGTCTCCAGGCACGTGCTCAGTGTGAACCTGCTTTAATTTGATAATAGCACAGGGTGCCAGGGGTGAATTTACCAATCCTGTTGTTCTCTAACAAATGCCAGGCATCCTGCACAATGTTCAGGTTTGAGCACAACCCCTATCTGTGGAGGTCATAACATCCTAATGAAGTCCCTTTCTAACCATTTGTGCAGATACATGCACAGTGGTGGCCTGCTGGAGGTCAGTTTTTTAGGGCTGTGCTTCTCTACTTCTCCTTCACTAAGGCAGAGGTAGCGGTACTGCTGCTGGGTTGTTGCCCACCTGGTCTAGTGGCCTGTCTCCTGGTAGTGCCTTTAGCCTCGGGACACTACGATGACAAACACACAAAATCTTGCCATAGCTTGAATTGATGTGCCATCCTGGATGAGCTGCACTACCTGAGCTACTTGTGTGGGTTGTGGAGCTTGCATGTGCTACCACGAGTGTGAAAGCTCCACCAGCATTGAAAATTTACCAAACATCAACCAGAAAACTGTGGTCCCCACCTGCGGAACCAGTTATTTAGTGAGTTTTTTTGCTAATTGCCAATAATTCTAACCTGTTGTCTGTTTCATTTGGACAACAGCATGTGAAATTGATTGTAATTCAGTGTTCCTTCCTAAGTGGACAATTTGATTTCACAGAAGCTTGATTTAATGGAAGTTTTATTGTGTTGTTCCTTTTTTATACTGGCTTCTGATAGCCAGAGAAATTGAAAATGCAGATTCATTTAGGTAATTTACATATTCAAAACAGTAACAAAAACATCTACAAAAAAACGTCTTGCTTATTTTAAAAACATTAAGCAAAAAGATATAATTTATTGGAAATCCGTTCTGACCTAAAACAAGTTTGGTACAGGTTAGTGAGAAAGAAGGTTATGAGTCTGCTTTTTGTTGCTTTTTTTTACACTTGGCTGAAATGCTTAAAACTTAAGATAAAGTATTCTAAATGAAAAATTCTAGTTTTAACTCACTGTGAGGGTTTCTACTCAACTCATAGGGTTTGAATGTGCTTGTATGTGTCTGATAATAGATATCTCTATGTATTTGTTGTTATTTCTAGTGTTTGTTGTGTAGCACAAAACATGTTTCTCCCACACTCATGCCATCACTGAAATAACGCCCAAAAGTTAAAGCTGTTATTAGCAAGTGAAGCGCCAAAAAGATAAACCATTTAGAAGAACAGAGAAGGAAGAAAATACTGGTGGTGGCAGTGAAAATCAACAAACAATACAAAGGATAAAAGCCCTAAAATTGCAAATACAGTATGATCTTTCCATCTCTGTTGCAGAATGTGAGCGCTCATCAACACATCTCTCACCTTCGCTCTGCCTGTAGAAGACGGAGTCGCTGCCGCAGAGGCTTCCATCGTTGTCATTGCTGCCGTCGTTAACGCTGCTTTCTAAAATACAAAGGGAAACCAGGAAAGTCTTTCTCCTGACATCTTCCACTGAAACTCAAACATCCGGCACAAATTATGCAGTTTTTTTGTAAAGCAGCTATGCTAAAAGTAGGTTACACTGAACAACATGTCATCAAACATTTTGTGGACTGGATTTCCCACCTGCTTCTATTAGCTTGCCGCTTGTGCTGTTTCATTTTTCCATTTTTTTCTCTTGTGTGGTTGTTAGCGCAAAATACAAAATGACAGCTTAAAGAAACTTGCAGCTTATTTTATAGGTTGATTTGACTTTTAAACATATTGCATCCACCAAAATATTCTCAAAGCCTGTAGCCTTATTTTTAGTGCTATTTCTGCTATATTTGTGTGGCTTCAGTCAAAGAAAATCTGCATATAGAGCAATGCAAATGTGGAATAAAAGGGATTTGAGTAACAATATATTTCAACAGGTTTAATTTAAAGGACAGAAACCCTCTGATAAGGTTACTGGTTAAAAGGTTTACCTTTTCTAAAGCCCACATTCCCTTAGAGGCCCATTAAGTGCAGTAAGATAAGTCTCCCGAGGGGCTCCTCATTAGACCAGCAGTAAAACTGAAGTGGTTGTACTCGGACTTGCAGCTTTTAAAAACTAGAAACTAGGAGAACAAAGGGGGGCTACCGTGTAATGGCAGAGAAATTTCCATGACTAAATAAACCTCTGTGCTGATCTTTATATCCTTTGTGGAATTAGACAAAATTTAACAAACTTGGATCCGCGTCGATTCCAAGTCATTTACTTGTGTTCTATTTCCTTTGTGTGATCACTTTGACTAAATTCTCTCCTATCCTTTGTCAGATTCCAAGGTTTTGTAGTTAATTCAGCCCTGTTGCTCCTCCCGTTGGCCATGCTGCAGTCGCAGCAGAGACAGATAAATGCTCCTGGTGGTTTGTTGTGAATCTGTTGTTAAGCAGTCCAGGCAGGCTTACATTTCCCTGCCATAGCTGTCAAAATGCCAAGAAAAACAGCCCACAAAGTCACTCCTCCACTCTGCTTCCGGAGCTAAGCTTGACAAGTCCCTTAAGTTTTAAATGTGTGACATTCTTACAAAGTGCTGAAACTTATTTTATAAAACCATTTAGAAAGTAAAAACCTGATATGAATCCGAATAAAAGCAAGTAGCATTTTCCCCCTCTACTTATTATTTGGCAGGAGCAGATCGTACAGCTGCAAAGTGGGATTTGCCATTTTTAGCTCTACAACAAGAAGAGCTACTGTTTGTCAGTGTGTGCTGCAACATTCCTTAAAGCTGAGAGTAAAAACCAGCAATTTCACCTGTCACCTTGATGCATAGTGACACATAAAGAAGCTAAAAGTTTGATGTTTCTCTGCACATTTAGCTCCAAGAGGCACATTTTTCCCCATCAGCCTGTGCACAGCCGATTGCAGGAAACACTTCAGAGCATCACCCACTCCTCCGACCCTTCCCTTGTCATTTTAATACTTGGATGAAGCCACACAGAACAGAATTGCACTTTCTGCCCTGTTAGAGCTGGATTATAGTTTCTAAAGACGACAACAGATCTGTGTTAAAACCCTCAACAGTTGAAGACGATGTAGACACAAAAGCAAAGCTTTCAGAGAAAACGGGGATGCCTCCAAAGATTTGCTGCTTGCGCACACTGAGAAAAACTTGTCAGTCATACAAAAGCTGTCTTTAGTGTTTTGCTCTTGCAATATTCATTAATGTTAGAGCAAACAGTTTCCATTTCTTTTACTGTTCTGCATCTATTTGGAAGATGGAAGATCCATATTATTGTCTATTGTCCATATATTGTCTATTGACTAAATCTAATCTTTTTTAAGTGCATGCCAATGTTTAAAGTAAATGTGTGCTTATTTTAAAACAGAAGAGTCCGTTCAATTCACTTTGATCTTTCGGGAGTACATTTCATTTAAACAGCACACTATTTATGCAGCTGTATTTGTTACAGCAAGTTTAAAAAGAGTGGAGAAGATTTTTAGGGCTGTTCGTTTTGGTTTTTGATGCTATGAAGTAGAGCTGCTGTGATTTGTCGATGTCTTTAATAACATCCTTTAACGTCCATATTTTAGCAAAGACATAATTCTAACAGTTTCAATCTTGAAGTTTTTTCCAAACTCCCAATAAAATATATAAAAGTTTGTTAACAAATTTCTATGCATGCAACAGCAGTCCCCTCCTGGTTTTTGTATGTATAACTGAGTTATAGTTTTGGCTCCAATCACACCTTTGTCTTTCTATTTCAAAACAACTACACTGGAAAAAGTATAACGTTGCTCAAGTAAAAAAAAATTATATCAAGATATCACATCTAAAATATTTGACTTAACAGAATCTGAATGTAATTGCTTGTTATGACCTGATTATATTATGTTGATGTAAATAATAATACTGCACTTGACACAACTTAAAATCTTTGGCCTGTTCCAAATGATTTTCTGAACATTTCAGTTGATGAACCAAACTAATATTTTGACATTTGACGAACCTAACATACTTACTTTTGACTAAATTAACAACAATTAATGTTTGTATGGAAACCAGTTAATTAGATTTTTCACATTTCATTTGACTTTGCTTCAAAAATAATTTCCATTTACCGTCTTATAAATTCTATAAAAAAACACCTGGCCAACATCCATCCATCCATTGTCTGACACGCTTTATCCCGAGTGGGGTCATGAGGGGTGCTGGTGCCTATCTCCAGCTGTCTACGGGCGAGAGGCGGGGTACACCCTGGACAGGTCGCCAGTCCATCACAGGGCAACACAGAGACAAACAACCATTCACGCACACTCACACCTAAGGAGAATTCAGAGAAGCCAATTAACCTAACAGTCATGTTTTTGGACTGTGGGAGGAAGCTGGAGTACCCGGAGAGAACCCACACATGCTCGGGGGGAACATGCAAACTCAATGCATAAAGAATCTGGGCCAACAATCAAACCCGCAACCTTCTTGCTGCAAATATATTTATTAGTCGTTAACATAGCCTTAAATGGTGTAAATCCAGGTGGTGTAAATTGATATTAACTAAACTTAGCAAGTGGTAGCAGTTAGCATCTTTCTCAAACATGCTAACCACAGCAGCCCTCCTGCTCTTTATAACACAGGAGGTTGCGGCTGCCAGCGATGGCTGGTATCCAGCATTGAACTCTAACTAAACTCCACACTGTACCTTAAAGCAAAGTTTGTTTAGCTCTGGATGTAGCCGGGTTGAACAAACGGTTGAACTTTGATTATATGCAACTGATTTGCTACTTGTGTTTATTTATGGGTGGAATCCACCCAGGATGCAGAGACGACTAAAATGGCACTCTCTCATGGTCTGGGACTTGGACTTGATCACGTGCTGTGACTGCATGCAAAGCTCAGTTCACATGTGACTCAAACTAAAAAGATTGCCTGCAGGCCATAAATAAATATATAAATATTGAGAGAAATCAAAAAAATTTGTTTTGGGTCTTTTGTACGTGTATTTAGTTCAGGTTAAATAAAACTTGTTCTCTCAAAATCCAAAAAGAATGAGTTATACAATCAAATCAATAATTTTATTTAGTTTACAGTGAGAGGGATTAGTTTGAGTGAATAGATACATGTTACACTTTTTTAAGTGTATGCTGGACAATGTCTGCCCGGAACCAACTCAACCGGGCAAACACCCAATTGGTCAAAAGTGAGGAAACACTTCCTTAACAGATGATCAACATGAATCTGGATGCTCTATTGGATTGTTATGGGCCACAACTACAGATAAAAGCTGTATCAGCAGTTGCTTACAGGGATTGATAGAAGATATATCAATACATCACATTACTCAAAATAATGTATGACTTACAAGCTTCTAAGAAAACCAAAAATGAAAATATTTCAACAGCAAACTTACATTAAGCTACTCATTACTTGCAGAGAAATAATTTAGTACACATATAAAAAGATTTTGTGCTATCTACTAGTTGGCTATCTATCTGCCAACTAGTTGCTTTGGGGAGTAAAGAGAAAGCTAGTTCTATCTTACAATAACAAATGTAAATGTGTGATGTTTGCTTAAGGGCACAGTGAAATTAATTTTTTTCTGAGAATAAGATTCTTGCTTTTTAGGTGTATTCTTTCTCTATTCTATTCTGCAGAATTTGTTAGTTCAATTTCTAACATTATACTTTTCTTGCTTTTTCTCATCATAGTAGCTTCATCTGGTCTTTTCTTGTATCAGCTGTGTTGCTGCGATCAACAACTTTGTTTATAAATGTTGGAGCTTGGCCTGTTTTTCAGTGTAGTCCTGTTTCTCCGACTGTGACTAACTGTATGTTCTCTTATTTGGAGGAAGTGATGGCCTAGTGGTTAAAGCAGTGCGCTTGCGCTCTGAGAAGGTTACAAGTAACCAGTTCGATCCCCCCAAGGGATGGGTTAAATGCGGAGAGTTAATTTCTACTTTGTGAGATCAGTAAGGTTCTATTTCTGCTTTTCATTTTTTATCCTCTGACATGGGAGCTGGCTCAGGGCTGATATGCCTGACTGTGTGTTTTCTGGACTGGGCTGCTTATGGAGCTGGTTGACAGTTACCTTTTTGTACCTCTGCTTCTGTCTCCTTGAACCCCAGTCGGCCTTGGCAGGTGGCCGCTTACACTGAGCCTGACTCTGCTGGAGGTTTCTTCCTGTTAAAAGGGAGTTTTTCCTCTCTACTGTCGCTACAAGCATGTGTAGTGTGAGGAATTTCCTTCACGTAAATGAGCTGTTGCTCCTTAGATAGAAAACTTTGAACCAGTCTGACTGTATGATCTGGTCGAATTGTCTCTATGAAGTACTTTGATATGACGTGTTGTGAATTGGTGCTATATAAATAAACTGAACTGAATTGAATTGCTGTTTTTTTCATGGTCAAGAGGTAGTGCGAAGTATCAACACAAGATACACACAACAAAATAATATTTAGGTCTGCAACTAGCCATTTTGTTAATCGGTTAATCTGCTAAATATTTT